ATCTCTCCCCATCTCTCCCCATATCTCCCGCAACGGCATCGGCATCGGAAGGGGTTTCCCACAATCGCTCCCATCTCGTCCCCATCTCTCCCCATCTCTCCCCATATCTCCCCATATCTCCCGCAAGGCTCGCTCGAGGTTCCACATCGCCCCATATCTCCCCATCTCTCCCCATCTCTCCCCATATCTCCCCATATCTCCCGCACGGCTCGCTCGAGGTTCCACATCGCCCCATCTCTCCCCATCTCTCCCCATCTCTCCCCATATCTCCCCATATCTCCCGAACGGCTCGCTCGAGGTTCCACATCGCCCCATCTCTCCCCATCTCTCCCCATCTCTCCCCATATCTCCCCATATCTCCCCATATCTCCCGCACGGCTCGCTCGAGGTTCCACATCGCCCCATCTCTCCCCATCTCTCCCCATATCTCCCCATATCTCCCGCACGGCTCGCTCGAGGTTCCACATCGCCCCATCTCTCCCCATCTCTCCCCATCTCTCCCCATATCTCCCGCACGGCTCGCTCGAGGTTCCACATCGCCCCATCTCTCCCCATATCTCCCCATATCTCCCCATATCTCCCGCACGGCTCGCTCGAGGTTCCACATCGCCCCATCTCTCCCCATCTCTCCCCATCTCTCCCCATATCTCCCGCACGGCTCGCTCGAGGTTCCACATCGCCCCATCTCTCCCCATATCTCCCCATATCTCCCCATATCTCCCGCACGGCTCGCTCGAGGTTCCACATCGCCCCATCTCTCCCCATCTCTCCCCATCTCTCCCCATATCTCCCCATATCTCCCGCACGGCTCGCTCGAGGTTCCACATCGCCCCATCTCTCCCCATCTCTCCCCATATCTCCCCATATCTCCCGCACGGCTCGCTCGAGGTTCCACATCGCCCCATATCTCCCCATCTCTCCCCATCTCTCCCCATACCTCCCGCACGGCTCGCTCGAGGTTCCACATCGCCCCATCTCTCCCCATCTCTCCCCATCTCTCCCCATATCTCCCCATATCTCCCGCACGGCTCGCTCGAGGTTCCACATCGCCCCATCTCTCCCCATCTCTCCCCATCTCTCCCCATATCTCCCCATATCTCCCGCACGGCTCGCTCGAGGTTCCACATCGCCCCATCTCTCCCCATCTCTCCCCATCTCTCCCCATATCTCCCCATATCTCCCGCACGGCTCGCTCGAGGTTCCACATCGCCCCATCTCTCCCCATCTCTCCCCATCTCTCCCCATATCTCCCCATATCTCCCGCACGGCTCGCTCGAGGTTCCACATCGCCCCATATCTCCCCATATCTCCCCATATCTCCCCATATCTCCCCATATCTCCCGCACGGCTCGCTCGAGGTTCCACATCGCCCCATATCTCCCCATATCTCCCCATATCTCCCCATATCTCCCCATATCTCCCCATATCTCCCGCACGGCTCGCTCAAGGTTGCGCCCGCACGCTCACTCGCCGCCGGATCGCGCGCGCGCGTGGCGCCAACCCTCCCTTCTCCCCCCCCCCCCCTTTTTAAATAGATCCAGGAGGCGAAGCTTGCCCTTCTCGACTAGCTCGATCCAGTCGAGAAAGGTGTCCCAGAAAGACACCAAGGACACGCCTTCCCCATGCAATACAGACGGCCTCCGCCTGGAGACCACAGAGAACGCCAGCCTCTACTGATGGAACAACAAGTCAGCCATGAGGGCCCGCCCCGGGGCGGGCGGTATGGCTGCAGCAGCGAGCTTCCAGCCATCCCTAGTCAGGATGGCTGCCCTCTGTGTATCGCAGCCATCGGGCTGGAGGCTATGGCTGCACTGTAGCTAGCTCAGCCATCCCTAGGTAAGATGGTTGTGCAGGAACGTTCACAGCCATACTGCTGTCACGTTCCGAGGTTAGCCGATTCTAACTTAGCGCGTCGTGCAATTTCGTCACATCCTCATCAGGCGCTGCCACCGACTCAAGTGGATGGTGGAGCTATTTTCCTGGAAAACCATCGAGAGGGGCTCGCTGCGAGGAAGGAAGGGCTGTGTGAGAAGCCGATCCCCGTAGTCCGCCCCACTCCTCTCCCCATCCACTTGAGTCGGTGGCAGCGCCTGATGAGGATGTGACGAAATTGCACGACGCGCTAAGTTAGAATCGGCTAACCTCGGAACGTGACAGCAGTATGGCTGTGAACGTTCCTGCACAACCATCTTACCTAGGGATGGCTGAGCTAGCTACAGTGCAGCCATAGCCTCTAGCCCGATGGCTGCGATACACAGAGGGTAGCCATCCTGACTAGGGATGGC